CGGACAAGCACTGAGCGTACAGTGCTTATAAATATACGTTGGGTAAGGGCAAACCCGTTATATATAATTTTCTGCGTTAATTGCATTAAAATAGATGGAATGGATCACGTGGTGCTTATCGATTGCCGGCACGAAAGAACTAGGCACAAACGATAAGACGATTTACCGCCTAATACTGATTCTAAGATGGATGCTAATTTATATGATCTAGGCTTAATAATTGAATATGACGTTGACATAGAAGATTTGAATTGATTAGATACAGTCAACATAAAAATTTAATAGACGCGGCCAATTAACCAATTTAACGTAACTTTGAAAAACGAAAACAAATCCAACTAAAATACAAAATCAGAAACATGTCAACCCAAATTTACATTGTAACCGACGACCACGAGCGTCTCAATGCTAGCAATAACGATCTCAATATTGTATACGGTCCTTTTGATGCCAGCAGACTGATTATTTCAAACCCCGTGATAAGAGAAGGTACTTATGTATCCCAATCTCCCATTTATTATAAATCACGACGGCCAAGAAAAACGTCTGCTGATTATGATGACTGACACGACTTGTTACGGCATAAGTCCCCTGTATAAACAACTATAATGTTATCAACTACAAAAGCCCATGATGTGTATACTCGATGATATAAATTTGGCAGCTTACGAGTTTATTGAAACGCAAGCTGAAATGCAAGCTGCTGTAAAGTCCAAAGTACCGTTGATTACCATTAATGCTTATAAAGCCAGTCGCGATTTAGACCTCTTAGACAAATCGGGAAAAGTTGCATACGAATAATAACAACAAAGGTGATGGAATTTTAATCGAGCTAGACATTTTTAAATGGTATATAATAAAAAAGAGATGACAACGAACGTGGAGCCGAATATGTGGGTATCCAAAGTTAAATGGATCTATATAAGCAGAAATGGCAGCCGAAGCAACTAAAATTTACCACCTTCAAAAGATCGAAGACATCCGCTGGCAAATCATACAAGAGCGTGACGCACGTGAGACTTCTTACAAAGAGATCAAACGGCTATTAACCGCGCTAGTTTGCGTGGAATAAGGGTGCCACATCGGCAGCTATAGGAATCCTCGCGCTGTTGGTATTTATCACCGCACCTGTCAGGCTAGTGATGGATGGAGCATACGCGTTGTTAAAATAAGCCAGTCGCAGGTTGACGGCAAAAACTAAAAAGCACGATAAAATAAAGAATTCTTTTAGCTTGGCGGCGGCAAGCTATCTTATTTTATTACCATCGACAAGTACGCCTCCCATGCGATCAGAGACGGCGACGTCTCTCAAGAAGAGTTCGTTTTGATTTTGTCCGAACTAGGCAAAAGAAAAAAAAATCAACGAAAAGAAAAGATTCGTGCAAACACAGCGACCGAGTTGCAAGAAAATAAAACGACGTGCAAGAAGAATTTGACCGCCAAGTGCAAGCCAAAATGGAAACGTTGCCAACGGGGAAGGGCAGCATTTTTTTAAAAATGCCTTATGAGCAAAAAATTGGCGACTAACTTTAACCAAGTCTGTCAAGTACCAGGAATCTCCACCTGCTTACCAACATATTATGGAAACCGTAAAAAAACACCGCGCCTGCTTTTAAAAACCAGTTTATTGTAAACAGATTGGAGCCAACTTTAGTCACTTATCAATAGTGGTCAATAAAGTCTATTACTTTTCTGCCGTGTTTCCCAATTTAACCGCGACGTATAAATTACCAAAAGTGAACACGGACGAAGCCGTTGAACGTTGGGTTACTAACCCCATGTCGTTTTATCAAAATCAGTTTAA